TTTGATGGGGCAGAGACGGAACATTCTAAAATCCCTTTTTGCAGCACGAAGGCCACTCACCTATATGTACTCACTTGGAGGTTTTCTGAGAGACTGTGGCTGTTCTGCTCCAGGGCACTGTTCTCTAAAGGCAAATGTGCCCCCAAACCTTCTCCTCAGCCTTAAGAACCAATCACAGAGCTGCCATTCATTAGTTAATTTAAACCTTTCCTTAAAGTGTTCATGATCTCCAACCCAGCTGTCCCATCTAATGAACAATGCCACAAACCTAATATATGAGCAAAGGGGAAAAAAAAGAAAAAGAAAAAAGGGCCAGCGCTTTGGAGGCTGGAAGACTTGTGTCAAATCCCAGCTTCACCGTTTTATTGACTGAAGCACTGGACGGGTCAAACCTCTGGTCCCCTTTACTGTTTGTAATAAACCTCTGGGCTGTTAGGAGATCCAGGGAAGTCATTTATGAGAATCTCTGCTTTGATGCTGCTCTCTGCCTTATCAAACCTTGGGTTAATACAGACAGAAGTTACAATTGAAGTAGTTGTTTTTACATGTTCGCTAATGCCTCCTTGCTCTAGTAGACGGGTATGGCGACCAAATCCCATCCAGCCCTCCTGATTCCTTCAACTCAACTGTATCTCCTCTCCACCGTGGTCATGCCAGTCTTTCTCTTGAACCTTCTCCAGCTCTGTACTGCAGATCGCTGTGTGGATACGAGGGAGATGACAACACGGTGGACCGTTTCCAGTGTCCATGGACTCCACTATGCACGTGTTGATTTTAAATATTAAAAGCAATCAGGAGACAAAGAAAAGTCCTTTGTAAGAAAGGCACCAATCAAAACAAACAAACTCCACGGGCCATTGAAAGTCAAGAGGGCAGAGTTGGCCTCAATCAGAACTTCCCTCCCTCTGCCAGGGCGTTCCTGGGTTTGGATGCCCGCGGAGCTCCCTGGGTTCTCGCCCTGTCCATTCGGTGCTCCCTCCTTTCCACCCCCGGATCTCCCACCCCTACCCCTAGGGCAGGCCTGGGCCTCTGAGGGGGATGAAGCCGACATTAACCCACCAAACAGCAGCTGAACGGCCGAATGCCAGGCAAGGAACCGAAGAGCTGAGGGCAAGAGGGAAGCCGCAGCCGCCGCCTGCGCCTCCCGCGGAGGCGCGTTCCCGGGTTGCCGGGACACCTGCCCAGCGACGCGCGGCCGCTGCTTCCCGCCAGGCGGGGCTTCCCAGGCCTCCTCTCTCCGCATCCCAGGGCTCTCTGAGCCTCCGCACGTGATGGAGTCTTCTGAAGGGCCAGAACCCGAGGCTCCAGCCACGGCGGGGCGTCGTAGGCAAGGACCGCAGGCAAAGCCACTCAATGTTTCTGGATTTTTTTTTTAAGAGTTGTGGTCCTTCTCTAGACAATTTTCGTTATAAGGACTGTAGCCTCTGGTGGCAGTGAAGGATGAGCCCTCCACACAGCTTGCAGATGCCCACTTGTAACTGGCACTGATTAGACAGGATGACCTACCACTCACAGAAGGCCTTTTCTGGGCCAGCCTCCCTGCTGGATGTTATCTTCCTTAAGCAGCCAGCTGCATTTTTCAAAATAGAAAACTGCATTTGAGCAAGGGCTTGCTCAAGGTCACCGGGAAAACTGAGACTGATTTTCAAGTTTTCTCACTCCAAATCTACTGCTCTTTCCATCACACCAATTTGAAATTATCTTACTAATTCTTTGCAGCATCGAATAAATCCTGCATGCAAAGCTTTTCTCCAAGTCTAATTTAAGTCCCTCAATTCCAATTCAGGCCTAATTTCTCTTTCAGTGAAGTGAAAAAAATTGGGGTTTTTATTTTTAATAATTTTTTGAATTGATTATAGACCAAAAAAGGGTCATTGTAGAACTTTCAGAAAATATAAAAAAGTTAATACGCATAATCCCACAATCCAGATAAACCACTTTTTCTGGCTATCTATTGCTGTGTACAAATTGCCCCCAACCTCTGTTGCTTTAAACAACAGTTGTTATTATCTACTGATTCTGAGGGTTGGCTAGGTAAGCTAGGTGATTCATGACTAGGGTCACGTGGTTGCAATCAGAAGGTGGCTTTCTCCCTTGTATGTCTGGTGAACTGTGTTGACTAATAGCTGAAACCTCAGCTAGGGCTGGGCTTTGGCCAAATCACTGACACCTGGCTTTTCCATGTACTCCACAGCATGGCATCTGCATTCCAAACAGGAGCAGCCCAGGAGAATAAGGTAGGGGCTGTACTCGGCGGAGGTGGGGAGAAGGAACTTTGACCACACCTCTCAAAGGGAGAATCAGTCATACTGTATGAAGAGTCTAGGGGGTGGGGGATCTTGCTGTAACCATCTTAGAAAATACAACACCACTACTAATATTTAGAGGCCATTCCCTACTGTCCTTTTCCCATAAACATGTATGTTAACATAAGTGGAACTTAACTACATATACAATTTTCTAGCATGCTTTTTAAAATTTCACATTAGATCGTGATCATTTCCTCTTATTAAGGTTTTTTTTAAACCATATTTCACCTGTTTAATTATCCCATGGTAGAAGAGGTAACAGCTTTGTAATAGAAATGTTAGCTGGGCAACAGTGTAGTTATTAAGATGAGGCAATGCCAAGAAGGCAGAGATTTTTGTCTGTTTCCCTCACGGCTCTCCACCAAGCACCTAGCACAGTGCCTGGCACATATAGGCACTCATTAAGCATGTGTTTACTGAATGAATAAATAGATGGGTGGATTGTTGATTTAAATGGCCTGAGCTGAGCCCCTCCCTCTCCTGTTGCATCCTCCTGGAAAGAAAGAGACGAGGCCTCTAACTGTACCATCAGGTCACTAGATTTCAAGACCTGTTGGTCCCAGGATTGTAGGGTAGAGCGAAAACTGTCTCCCAGCCTACGTGAGTCCTGCGTACTGCCACTCCTAAACCTTCCGTTACTCTGCAGCTTTAAAGCCTCCCGGGGCACTTTGGGTTCATCCCTTAGGCAAGTTTCTGACGCCTGTTGGGGCGCGGGAGCCACCTAAGGGGTTCTAGAGGGGCCTCCCCCGCGCAGTCCGGCTGCCCGGGTTCAGCAGCACAGGTGAGGGTTTGTGGTGCTCGGTGGGTCCAGAAGCCTGAGGATTCCTGAAGGTCCCGGAAAACTCTGCTAGTATTGCCAGGAGGGCCAGCACCATTCGCCAAGAGGGGTTTCTCCAGAGGTCTCTCACTGGCGACTCCTCTCTCGGCTGCGGCCCCAAACCAAACCCAGCGTTGTTGACGCAGGCAGTGAGGCCAATCCGGGGCCCCTGAAATCAACTGGACCTCCTCTCGCGCTGTAGGGCCTGAGTAGGGGGTGGGGGGAGGGCGTGGCGTAGGACGACTTGGGACCCGGGCCACCACTAGCACATATACGATGTACGCGCCTAAGTATTACGTCGGACCATACGAAATCACTGTTTTTATGGATCAAAATATAACAGTTGCATATGAGTAGTTTCATGATTCAACGTAATTGTAAAAGGCAAATGCTTCTAGCAGGTTCCATGGCGAGCTGTGGGGTGCGGACGCGTTCTGGACTTTAGCCCCACTGTCTCCCTCCGCCCTGCACAACCCCACTTTGCGTTCACTTCCTGGAGGCTCGGCTCTGAGAAGGAGCGGCAGGCAGCGAGGCAGGGTCGTGGCAGCAGGTGGACCGGGCAGGTGCAGGGGCACTGGCTAGGGAGGGTCGGGTCTGGTTCTTGCTTGGCCTGCGGCAAACCCAGACCCTTTGGAGCGAAGACTCTAATTAAGAATTAGGTGCCCAGGATCAGAGGAAACCAGACAGCGGAAGGGGAGTGACATCAAATAACCGTTACCCCGTTCCTTTTGGGTCTTGGCGGAATACAGGCAGAAACGAGCCTAGAAGGATGGTATTCGTGGTTGACAGCCGAGCAGTCAGGGACATTGGTTGAAAAAAAAATTCTCTTGTGTCTGGCAAACTTCTAGAGTTTCAAGTTAGATGGGGGAGGGGAAATCTCAAATCTTACCTCTCCCCCCAGCTCCACTGCCAACAGTCCATTTAGGGGAGCCTCTGTTCTCCAATGTCAAGAAAAAGTCGCCATAAACCCTCACTTGACATGCTGTCCCAAAAGCACACACCAGAGGGCAGTATAAACCAGGACATGAAAAACAAAATGAGATGGGAGATTCTTGACTGTTGCCTTCAGGCGGAAGCATCACAGGGTCTCATACAAAGAGGGCGCTGAGGTAAAATGGGTGATGAGTGGATTACTGCGGTACCCGTCGTCTTTGAAAACTTTCAAAGGCAGAAGGGCCTGGCAAAGATGGACGAGAGGAAGCATTAATACCTCAGAACCCGCTACCACCTCCAGCTCCCAAATCCTGAAAGGGCTTCACCACCAGTTCAGGTCAGGAAACAGTCCCCAAGCACCTCCTATGTGCCAGGCACTGTAAAACTCAGTCCCTTCCCCAGCTGAGCGCCTATGACATGCCGATCACTTTACATTCATTATAACATTTAATTCTTACAAAGGTAAAGTGCTATGAGAATCATCTCCATTTTACAGATGATGAAAAACAGACTCAGGGGTGAAGTACTAGTCCCATTAGTAACTGGCAAAGTTAGAGTTTAAAACCACGTCTTCCTAGATTCAGAGCCAAGCCCTCACCACTGTGAGCCTTCTTAGTATGTGCTCTTGGTAGGAAGAAGGTCCTCTGTCATCTCAGTACCAGCCAGGCTATCAGCACTCCCATCATAGGTTGTCAGACTGCTCAGGAGAGGCCCTGGGGTGATCTTGTCCCCAGAAACCCTTGGCTTGGATTTCAGAGTAACATAACTAAATACTCACTATTTTTAAATATATTTAACATATACAATATATTAAACAGACACGCAGAGGAAGACTGCCAACATGTGTGACATATGTGAGTGTGACACTTGTTCTCTAGATTAGGAAGGGAGAAGGCGGAATTTGATGGGGTTGTTGTGGAATTCCTTGAATACCAGGTTTGCCCCAGTATGGAAGTCACTGCGGCTCTCTCAGTGGATGAAGGATGGAGCAAAGTGGTGTGTGCTGTGTATCCTCATGGCCTCCCTTTGCCCCTCTGAGTCCACACCCTACTGTCCCGACCCTGCTCTGGGCTGACCTGTATGCACTGCTTCCCCCAGGTCCCTTGGGAGGCCCTGGAGGGAGGGAAGGATGGATGGAGGGCAGGAGGGAGAAGTCAGGGTATTTATTCCCCCGGCTCCTTTCCTGTTGGACCTCATTGTCTATGTTTCTCTCCCTGAGGCCACAGCTCCCGCTAGAAGCCCTCTCCACACAGCTCTCTCTGGGGTCCAGTAATTGCCCCCTTCCCTGGACCCTGAGGCCTAGGGGTGGCAGTAACTCCCCCCTGTTACAGTCCCGGAGCCCAGCCCCACCCTCACTGACTTTCCTAAACCCCAGCAGCACCTCTGTGAAGAGTCCCTGAATCACACTCTGCCATCACGCAGCTGAAGCATGCCTGTCTTTCCTGCTGGAATCCTGGTGCTCTAGGAGGTTAGTCTGATGACAAGAAAAGTCCGATGGGAAAGCTGCTGCCTGCAGAGGAGGGCCAGGCCAGAAGGGACTTACTGGATATGAGAAGCCAACCAAACCTAGGAGGCAAAGACAACTCCAAGACACGTAGCCTGAGGACACCAGATCTTGGTGAACGGGTCTAATTGTACTTTAGTTTCTGTGTGAGCGAGAAAGGAAAGAGGGGTGACAAGGTTAGCTCGGTTTCCATCAGGCTAAGAGTGGGGAGATACTAGCATAATAATAGGAAGTTGAATGGACTTTTCCTGTTGCCTGCAAACCATCCCTGGGGCTCAAAGTTGGAGACAAAGAGGCATTAAGTAAATCCATATTCTAAACAGAACATTTATCAATGGAGGGTCAGACTCTTCCTAGGGTCTATTAAGAGACTGCCAAATCTCTGAACATTGCTAAACACTTACTACTTTTCCAGGAAAAAAAAAGTAAATAAATGTTGTGGTGACCTTCAAACCAGCCAATACCGTGAAAATGAGTATTACAACACTGTGGGTTCAAGTTCAGGCTTCAGAGCCAGACTCCTGAGTGCAGACCTTGCTACTTCCACTTACTATCTGTGCACGCCTGGGCAAGTCAGTGTCTATGAGCCTCAGTGTCCTCACCTATAAAGGGGGATAATAATAGTACCCAGCTCACAAGGTTGTTGAGAGGATTCATGAATAAACACATGTAAAGCACTT